AGAAAATATTTAATATCCTAAGTGCACCCTCCAGCCCTGTTGCATTTAGGAACCCCTGACTACACTTCAACACCAAGACATTTTAAACAGCAACACTTACCAATGCAAAGAAGAGAAATGGGGAAAATGTGGCCCTAGATAGACTACAAAAGGAGACTCATTTACAGTAGGTGAGCTGAAACAAAAGGCAGACCACTGCCCTGTTGTCCTATTCAACGGGGAAAACAGCCATTGGACAACTCACAAAAATAATTTCCAAAACACCTTGAATATTGTTTGGACGTTACTAGCAAATTTTAGTGAATGGGGAATTTCTAAGTATGGAATCCATGAACAGCAGGGACTGACGGTATATTTCCAACTCTTTTGAATTTATGGCTCTCTATGATCTATCCCTCACTCCTAAAGCCAACCCTACATCTCTCTCTGGAAGCAATGTAAACACTAGCTGAACGGAACAACCCCGGTTTCTCAAGCACACAGTGTTCTTTCATCTTTCACAGCTACTCTGTACCCCACATCTTCTCATCACCCTCCTGGGACAACCTACTACTCCCACATTTCCCTAACCCATCTGTCACAGTGTCATGGGACTCATAATATGAATAATAATCACAACATCCTAATTATTAGAGCTCGATTCATGGACTGTTTACTATGTACCCAAGCACTGCTCTCAACAATTTACAAGTAAGAACTTAACCTGCCCAACTTATTGACAGAGATCATTAGTATCCTCCATCAGAAAAGAAAACAGAGCTGAAAATATCAAGTACCTTGCTCAAGTCACTCAGCAGAGGAGTAGGAGCCTCAGAAAGGGATGTGGGCCACCCTAATTGGAGCCTAGGCTGAATCACAGTGCTGCGCTCTCACAATAACTGCTAAATCTAGGAGCACTAAGATGAAGATGCTTCTTTCAGCAGTATGGGGACAGGGATGGAAATGGAGGAAGGAATACAGAAATACACAGTTCACTCCATACCTTACCATTGGCATCCAAGAAGAAAATATTCCAATGACAGCAGGTACTGTGTGTGGAATTATATCTGTGTAACTATGCATAATTATCTCCTATCACGCAAGAAGATAGAAATCCTCTTAAAAATTAGAACATGAATCTTAATTCTGAAATAATATTTTCATCATTACCCATTACCTTTTCTACCTTCACATCTCAGTTGTTTTTTTTCCTTAAAGATAAACCTGAATAAATTAAGGAAAATGTTTATAAAACTTCATAGGGTAAAGCACATCATATGGTTTAGAAACAATTTCTTCAAAAAAAAAAAAAGATAAAGAGTGTATTTTGTCCTCAGTGAAGTTAAATGAAAGGGTTGGGTGCGGTGGTGCACACCTGTAATCCCAGTGGCTCAGGAGGCTGAGGCAGGAGGATCATGAGTTCAAAGCCAGCCTCAGCAACAGCGAGGCACTAGGCAACTCGGTGAGACCCTGTCTCTAAATAAAATACAAAATAGGTCTGCAGATGTGGCTCAGTGGTTGAGTTACTGTGGTTGAGTTACCCTGAGTTTAATTCCCGATACCAAAAAAAAAAAAAAAAAGCAGGTATTTTTCTGTGTCTTGTAGAATCATACAAACATTTAGTCACTTTGGATTGAGATTTGGGAGTTATTTTATCAGAAAAATCTGTTCCATAGTGACGCTGTGCTGAGAAGGAATGAGAGGCCCATCTGCCTTCTCAAAGGTATTGCGGTTCATTATCCATTAACAAACTGTTCTTTCTGCCTTGTTGGAAAACTCAAAAACATGCCTTTGACTACCATAATGTGAGTTCCCCAAAAGGAAGGAAGGGAAACACCATGGTAAACTATACCCTGGGATCCAGGTGCCATGCTAATCACCAACTGATGGCCTGGCAGGGCCCTCCAGCAACCTTGAAATAGAAAAGTCACTGTCCATCTTCACAGCTGAGGAAACTGATGCCACACAAGTATTTTCCCTCAGAAGTAGGGAAACTTACATTAAAATCTAGAGCCACCCTACCCTGTACCCCCAGGACTCCAAAGACGTCATTTAACACTTCCTGGCTATTGCCTAACTTGGAAGAAATGAAATGAGAAATTCAGTTCATCTTATGGATTAAATTTTTCTTCAAAGAGATTCAAAATATTATTCAAGCCTCAAATTTCTCCTTCAAGTTCAGTGAGGAGTGTAAAGGGAAGACGACATTTCTTTTGGGAACACAGAGATAATTCTGTACAGAGTGCTAACTCCATCTAGAGTCTGCAGCCAGCTTGCAGTGTTGCAAAATGGCCTCTAGGTGGTGCAATGAGCCCGTGAGTCCCTGGACAGGGGCTCATTTATTTCTGCCGTTATTCAAAAGTGAAAATACCAGCTTGTCAAAGTGGTTGGCTCACTTCCAGCACAGAAATCATTACTCAACAGTCTTTCCAACTTCTAGACTCTCTGATGCAAGACCATGGCCTGGGAGGAGCTCTAGAGGAAGACCTAAAATTGAAAACTAAGAAGAAACCACAGGAAATAAAATAAAATAAATAAAGGAAACCAATAGTCTCTTTTTGTTATTCTCTGTTCAAGGGTTTTTTTTTTTTTTTTCCTAAAATAACTTTTCAGGTCCTTGAGAAGAGAACTCATCAATTCTGAAGGCCTTAACATCACAATAAATTGACTTTCAGCAGGGGGAAAAAATGCTTCATTAAGTACTCATAAAGCAGAGCACTCACCAGACACAGAAAATGAAAACTGAGATAAACCCACAGCAGAAGTATAGAAGGAATTAGCAATAATGTTAAGACAGATGGAGCTACATTGAGAAAAATTACTCCCATGTTGGCTCATGGAATAGGCTGGAGATTTTATATAAAAACAGAGTCCTGCCCCCCTTTCTATATAACTTTCAGAGGGCCCAGGGTCTGGAATAATTCCAGTTCTACTCACTGCTCATTCCCCAAGCTTAATCTCTCCTCTGTCCCTTTGCACTATGCACTCTGCTACTCAAAACCACCAAGACCTGGGGCAGGGGCACAAGGCCGTCCTGCCTCGAAGTAATTTATGGAAAGAGCTCAGCATCTGCATTTTCCACATAATTCAAAATAAATCCAGGCAGTGACAGAAAGATGATGAAATTGCAGCAACACAGGGGTACCAGGCTCTGGGCCAGGAAGGGGTAGCAGAATCAATCGGGAGTATGTTTGAAATGCACACACCTTAATCTCGTCTTGGGAAGTTTGATATGACTTAAGGGTAAGGCGAGAGGCTGGGGTATTTTGCCAAATCTCTCAAGTGATGTGGATATGTCTTGCACAGCACAGGAAAGTAAAATTAGAAAGAATTGGAAGGGAGGCAGAAGGCAAGTGTTGTCCACCTTCCCTGGGGTATATCTTTGGGAAACTGCTCTTCTTACTCTAAGTAAAAACAGGACCTTGATCATCAACACACATCAGGTATAGGAAATTCTCACCTGGTCCATCAATCCTGACTCTTTCTGCTGAAAGTTTTAAAATTCAATTCACTAAGAGATCAAATGTTGAATGTCAAGGTCAAAATACAGGATATGATGGTGGAAAAATTCTGTCAGAATACCTTTTTAAAGCAAGTTCCAAAGCTGAATATATTGCCAACAAATATTCTTATTAGAAAAGACAAGTTGAAACTAACATTATAAAAATGGTAACTTAGATTATTTTTCTAAGTTTAAGAGACATTATTGAAGAGGGATTAAAAAATATATATATATGGTCAGTGTGACCCACTGCTAGTTAAAGTATAAATTACAGAATGTTAATGGATAATAATGAGGCAATACCAAAAGTATTAAACATCTCTACCATATATAATTATAGTGCCACAAATTTATACTAATAAATGTGATCATGGATGTGCATAAATATTGGGCTGCAAAAATGTTAGAGACTTAATGGAAGTTATTAATAGTTTTCAAACATTGAATCAGTAAAAGAGCTTAGTTAAATCAACTTCAGTACATTCAACTTAAAATAAATAAATAAATCTCTCAATAATGAAAAACACCTATTATCTGATATAGAAGCATTTTTAATTAAAAATTTCGAAGAAAATTCAAAAACATTGTGAATTTTAAAGAAAATTCCTATAGAAGACAAGTCCTCCCAAGTAACATATAAAGTACCAGACTACTTTTGTTAAATTAAATGTAAACATTAACATATGTATACAAATACATACATACACATAGTGTACATATTAGTATATATTAACACACGAATATGTGTACATGTATATATACAGATATAATTTTGTCCAAGAAAGAGTATTTAAAATTTTTAAAAAGTACCTAGTAATTTCTAATCACTGAAGCAAAAATCTCACTCATGTCCTTTTTTTAATGGAACTTAAAAACCCAAATTTATACCTGCAAAATTTGAGCTTACCTGAAGGCCACCCTGAAACTGATGGTGATAGGGTAAGAACAGACTACAAATGGATATAACAACAGACTACACTCCAAACAAGTTGTGTTCTAATTTACAAACTAAGAAATAAAATGGAGGAGTCAACCTATTAGCACCTGTGGCAAGATAAACCTTTCAGGAAGATATAAACTGTATGAATCTTATCATGATTAAATTTCAAGAATTTTTCAATTTGATTTTGATACAAAATCCATGCACGTAAGTAATGCAATCACTGGCCCAATGATATGGCCTCTTCCACCATTGCCAGCATACAGCATTTAACTCAAACAGAACCTCAAGCATCTTGTGAAGCAGATTTCAGGGAGATGAGATGCATTCCGGGCTAACTACTCTTGGTTACACTTAATCAGAACTGAATAAACAAAGGCAGTATTAGTCACACTTGTGCAAGTTATTCCATTTCACTGCAGCCAGAGGACTTTCATGTGATCCTGTTTAAACCAGCTAAACATCTGGAAATGTGGAAACTATTCTGTAAAGTACAAGAGGACCACACGCCTGATGCGGCTGAGGTCAGCCACGGGGAGGCTGGAAGGAGAGAGAGCTTACTGGAGACGTCTTACTTACAATGAAGCCAAGTTTTTTATAATCCCGCGTGTACATGGACTTGCGCTTCTCCATGCTGCCGCTGCTGTTGTTAGGCTCAGACTCGGCATCAAAAGCAATTCTTCGAAGTTCAAATATGATGTCTCTTTGAGCCTAAAGGAGTTAGGGAGGGGAGAAAAAGGAGGGAGGGAAAGCTGCTTTCATTGTGTGATGTGACACAACTACCTCTTTCCCCAGAGTCTACATGAATCACTGCATTCAGGCAAAAGAAAAACAGATAAAAGACAACCAATGTTCGAAGTTAGGGCTTTGCTGACTTCTCTTCCTCCTGCCACTCTCCCTGATGGTTAGCCTGGGCCGTATTCCACAATTCTTCTTGCAGCCAACTCATTTGGAGGACTAATATCAGTTGCTCAGGACTGTCCTACATGAGACCCCCAATGTGATGGAAGGGTTGTGACTGGAAAAGATAAAGTTGGGAGAACCTGGGAGCACTGCGCTGTTAGAGAGGCACACAGGTTCAGGGACAGTACTCGGGTTACAAGGGACCCCTACAGAACAATTTTATGGACACTAACATGTCACTAAAACAAATGAGCCAAAAGGAAGAAACAACCCCAGTGTCATCCATGGAGAATGGATAAAACACAGGTCCAATAGACAGACAGTGGTGGCATATTATTCAGTCACAGAAAGGGACAAAATTCTTACACAGGTAACAATGTGGATGAACCCAAGATATTTTTTGCCGAATGAAATAAGACACAAAATGACAAATATTTTCTAATTCCATTTCTACAAGCTTCCTACAGTAGTCAAACTTCTAGAAACAGAAAGTGGCATAGGGTTACCAGGGGCTGAGAGGAGAGGGCAGTTGGGCAGTTATTGTTTAATGGGCACAGAAATTCAGTTCTGCAAGATGGAAAGATTCTGGAGATGAATTGTGGTGATGTTTTCACAGCAATAGGGAATGAGCTTCATGCTAGTGAACCGTACACTTAAAAAATGGATAAGATGATAAATGTTAGGTTAAGTATTTTTACCATAACAAAAAAAAATTTCATAAAAAAAGAAGAATTTGGAAACGAGGAGCATTGTTCCATTATTAGGATGCACTGCTCTCCATCACTAGAAGTGGTAAGATGACAGTTTCATCTCCCTGGGATGATTACACTTGGCCTTGCCAAAATGTGCGGCACAGTCGCTGGCCTCTCTTAGCCTCCTCCATCATTCTTAATCGCATGGCCTTGTGCCATGAATGAAGTGTTGCAGCAGCCACACACTCCACACATGCAGCCCACATCTGCAACAGATCAGGCCCTCACGTGCCAATAATGAGTGTTTTCCTCTCCAAAGCTGCAGCACTGCTTAAGTTGAAAATGTGCTACAGAGGGGCAAGCTTCCCAGCTGTTTCCTCTCACTCTACTCTCACACAGTAAAGTTCCCCCAAAAGCTTCTGGATGGAGACAGAATCTTTCACGGAAACAACCAAAGACTTAGCAGGGAGTTAGAGCAAAGAGCCAACTAACAAAACTGCCAGCCCGAAAATCGGGTTTATTTAACACAGGACTAACCACTGGCATTGATCATCGGAGAAAGGAAATTACTTCCAATTTGCAGAATCAGTATCACACAGAACTATCCTTGGCCCTGGTCATCTGGGAACTTGATCCCAAAGTTATCACTATCTAAGGTACGGTGGCCAAGAGCCAAGGTCTGAGGCCATGGACAGCAAGCTCTCCTATCTAAAAGAGGAAGAACATGGATGTGTTCAGGGCCTAATGGAAGAATCCATTTATTTTATTCTCTGATCCCAGGTTCACCTAAGTTTTAAAGTCATGCCACCAAGTTTGAGAGGGTAATAAGTCAATCATATGATCATCTTAAACTCCTGGTTTCAGGGTAGCTCCAGAGAAGACTTTTAGTGACACCTCCTTCCCCTCATGTGCTTCTCACTGCTGCCTGCTGGGCACCCACCTGGTCCTGGGGGTCCATCTTGGTCATCATCCTGTCTTCCAGGAGGTTAAAGGTGAGAACTTGGAGAACATAGAGCTGGTGCGCCATCTCATTGTTAATGGCTCGCTGCGCTCGGATGACATGCTAGAGAGATGATTCACAAATGACACTTTTAAATAACAAAGAATAAGCAAAAATAAATAAATAAATAAAGGTTAACCCTTGTTGTTACCCCAAGTAGAACCTCAACAGTGTTTATTTGGATGCACAAGGGATGGAGAATTACGGAACCACCTCTCACAAGAAAATCAGGGCACACATAATCTCAGAGCTTTCCTTGACATTGTGGGGCCCAGTAAGGTTCCTGTTCTTGAGACCAAAAACCTGGAAAAGACCTACTATGTGCAGAAGCTCCTGGATGAAGGGGGAAAGGTACTTCAAGAAAAGATGTACCTGAGATGAGTGTCTGGAGGACACCTCTGAGTATGCTGCAAGGGACCAGCGGCACCCATCTATCATGAGAACCTTATGGTCATCTCACCCCAGGATGGCCTCTCCCAGGTTTTACCACTTCTGACTGGAGGGGGGGGGGTAAGTTTTAGAAGCAACACACAACAGCAAAATAGTCATCTGATTTGTAGTGAACTCACTGTGGGAACTCCACAAGCCCCACTTCCATCCTGGTGCAGTCTGCAAATGCCACTACATTTTTTTTTAACAATTATTAGTTAATAATTAAGTGAAAAGTAAAATGACATTTCTTCATAGAAACAAGACTAAAAGCAGGACAAACATAAAAGGGCTGGCAGGAAGTTGGACGCATGGGGCTTTGCTTCCACCACAGCTCATACAACAGCCAGGTCTAATGTGTATCCTTTTCCGAGAGACCTTGGCTATACTTTGAAAATGCCAAATGACCAGTCACAGTGGCAAAACACTATTCAGATCCATGATTTTGAATGCACTAGACCCAGCCAGGCCCTGCTATCTATAAGAGAGCTTCGTCTCGGCACCCCCTGTTGCTACCAGTAGACTGCTGGAAACTCACTTCCAAGTGACCCTTCAGATAAGGCCAGAGCTCCCCAACATGAAAAAAAAATTATCGAATAATTAGCCACTTTCTCTAGTCTCATGTACTCCTTTCCCAGAGAGTCATGGTAAAGGCTCTTGGTCACACTCTAGGTTCTCAGGGTGCTGCCTGGCTACCTCCTGACCTGGCACGCACCATGGCTCCACACGGGCTGTGAATATGACATTGAAGCAGCTAAAAATGGAGGAGAGGGAGAAGAATGAGGGAGAGAAGGACAAGGAGGAGGGAGAGAAGAGGGAGGAGGATGTAATTCAAATGGCTGAACCAAAATTATGGGAGGGGAGAAGCTAGAGGAAGGAAGGTAGGGGTTGGGGTGTTACACTCCATATCCTTCATTCTCCAAAAGAGAATGGTAACTTGTACAACTTTAGTGCCCCAAATGTATGGGCATCCATTTTATTAAAATCTCCCAGACCTCTGCACTTCAACTTGCTGTCAGAGACTAGAAACCTTGAACTTCCAGCTATGGACATTTCATAAAAGAAGTGACTCTGAAGCCAATTATCTTTAAGGCAAGGTGCCTATTGTCATTCCACCCACTCATTTCTCTGAAGATTCCAACCTCAAGTGCCACGCCCGGGAGGTACGAAAAACAAGCTGAGCCCTTCTTCATCCATCATTTCCAACCCTTCATCTCCCACCTGGATCCCTCTCCTTGCGCAAACACCTTCACTGAACTACACCTTACTATTGACTGCAGCTTCCACATTTTTAGGGCCAAGATAAAGAATGGCCTATTATGAATCTTTCTGTACTTTCTACAAAGCCATAATTAGAGTAGAATCTATTAGGCTGTTTTACGAAGACACATTTCAGATTTCAGTTTGGGGATGGGGGGCATTTTGCCATCCCTGAAGAACTGGAACTCCTCTTTTTTTTTTAATCAGATGGTGAAATTTACATTTCATTCTTGATAGCCAGGAAGTTTAAAATCAAACTTGATCACCAACTGCAGTCCTTACCATTGGCCTTGAGTTCTAGAATATTTAGTTTCTTTGCCTAAAAAAAGGTGTTTTCATTTTTAAGAAGAGAAAAGGAGGCAGGGAAGGAGAAAGAGAGAGAGAGAGAGAAAATGTGTGGTGTGTGTGTGTGTGTGTGTCTGTGTCTGTGTCGTTGTGTGTCTGTGTGTCTGTGTGTGCCAAGTATTTCGTAACTGACTCTGGAGAGACTGCCTCTCTGAGGCCTTGCCAGTTTCTAGAGATAACAAATTACTTCTTTCATATGCAAATCAGCTGGAGCTCATGCCACCAGCCCTCTGTCCTCATCACCAAGGAACATGTCCCAGACAACTAGAACAGTCCATAAATTCTAAAACCCACTGAATTTATTGAAACTTCCCAATCCTAAACCTGCTTGGCCACTTTCTCTAGCCTCATGTACTCCTTTCCTAGAGAGGCACAGTAAAGGCTCTTGGTCACACTGCCCCTGACTCCTGACCAACCCGGCTTCCCTGTGAGGACCCCTCCTGGTTGTGGTAGGCTCTTCCTTTTGGGAATTATACGTAGCAAGCTCTTCTTTTCACTGGCAATGACCTCTAGACCTGCTGGCTTCATCATAACTGAGTAATAATAAAACATTATGGTGTATGTGTGTGTGTTGTGAATTCTAAGCTTGCTGAACTAGAATCCCATTATCAGAATTTTTTTTTTTTTTCGTTCTAAGCAGAAAACCTGCTTCTCTCAAGTAGCTGAGAAGGCCTCAGGAAACCTTGCCGTTTGGTTTAGTTATAAACACTCACAGTGCGACTTTAAGGGCTACTTTCTCCCTGAGGTACAAGATCAGTTCTGCACTGCAGTTAGTGAGTGGTTCCCACCTACTTTCCTTCTTTCCTCCTGTAAGGGGGCCAAGAAAATGATGGCCAAAATTTCAAGGCTTCTCTCAGGGCCTGGTATGTTTCCAGACAGCTTCCTCATTTAAAAAAAAAAAAAGTACAAGTGTACGAGTTCATTTTGGTGATTTTTTTTTTTTTAAGCCCCTGATGTCCTTGACTGGAAAGCCAAAAGTCTCAGTGTCTACACTTAACCTGCCACAGGAAGAGGAAGGTCCAGCTCCTCAGGCCCCTTTGCTTCCTAGAGCAGGGTAAGACTCCTCCCGCCAATCACAGGAGGCAATTCCTGTGGGAAAGCCTTACTTACTCCAGTTTCACACACACACATTCCCCTCCTTTATAGACCCTGCTGCTTCACCACGTTCCTGGTCACAGAGCAACCACAACTGAGGCCAAAAGAGAAATGACAGCGCACCAGGCTGCTCCTCCCAGCAAGGCAGTCACAGCCCCGAGGTACTCACTGTTAGAATGATGGAGCGCAGCTGCTTCTGAGCCAAAATATTCGCCATCTCCTGTAGAAGAAAAGCACACCCACACGAAGGCTTAGGTTAGAGAGACACATTTCAGCAGGGCCAACAATGACTTTATCCTGGGGTGTGCTTCGTAACTGTATATCAGCAGTATTTCTTAGGAACTCCCATTCAAATTATTTTTTTGCATATTCCATTTAGATTATAAAAGCCAGATCCAAAAACAAGGAAGGAAAATCTGGCACCTGTACACTATTTTTTTTTTCCTTTAGAAAATTCTTCTTTGCAGAAAAAGGTGAGTGCTGAATAAAAATCAAACATTCCAAATGAAAGCAACGGTTCTCCATTAGAAAGGCTCATCACCTTTTATTAGACTGTGTGCTGAAAGCTTCTGCAAGGCAATGCATGCCTACTACAACATTGTCCGATATGAAAGAACCATCGCTTTAAAGAGCTAAGTCTTCTAAAAGCCAGTTCACTTTTATCTGTGCAAGACCAAAGGGGGAGTAGCACATACCCCAGACTGGAAAGCAGGCTCTGCAAGTGAGCCCAGTGGGGTTTTAGCAGATGTCCCATATCTGGGCAGATGTCGAGCTCTGGTGTTCATACTCGGCTTCCACTCTGCTAGGGCTCGTTCCTGCAGGTAGTACTTTGTGCTCTGGCATTTCCTGACTGGCACAGAGAACTTAGGAGTGGTTTCACAGACAACCTTTATCAATATTGACAAGTAGATACTAATTGGAAAATTAAAAAGTAGAGCATGGCCTTGGCCTTGGTGTACTTTCAAAAAAGTCAAAATACTGCTCATATTCAGGAAGACACTGAGATGCTGGTTTTTGGGGGGGAGTATTTTTGGCGTTGTTACTCTTACTAAGCAGAGAAGAAAAAACTAAGCTACGATTCAGACAAAATAACCATAAATTCTACCAAGGTTGAAATAAATGTGCAGAAAGCTAGGAGAACCAAGAACATGGGGGGAAGGAGCTACGAGGGGACACAGGCAAGGTGGACAGGAGCAGAATGGCAGAGCGGGGCCTACTTATTCAGGCTGACGGAGGGAACGTGGGTGACTTACAGTCAGAGGACAATCAAGGATGTCAACATTGCTCTCTACATCAACCTAACGGCGTCATCGCCACCACAGAAAGGAAAGCAAGCAGGAGAGAAGAAGGGATGGAAATTCAGAGCACTCTGTTAGAGGTTGGCAGCTTCAATGCAAGGCCCCTTCTGACCCACCACACTGAGAAGTCGGTAAATACTGTCAGACGATTCCCAAGGGTGGATGGCATGGGAGACCAAACCCAGGACAAGGTCCTCTCCCCCACTCTTGGAAACTCAGAAACTAGAGCAAGGACACATTCAGAAACAAGCTCAAGGACAACCCAAAATGGAACCTGTCCTCCACACTGCAGAGAAAGCAGCTCTCTCCTCCCTATCTAAACAGAAAGGCCTGGAGATTTGTCTTGTTTTGCTATGATTTTGTTGTGTTGGACCAGATGACAAACAAAAGGCCCAAAGAATTCTACATCTCTCTTAATTTCTTTTTATGAATTTTAAAAATTTCCTTTACAAAAGTTAAAGTATTGCCCAATAGTCACATGAACCAAAAAAGAAAAAATATTCCTTCCCTATGCCTATTTTGGCCTGTTTATAAAATATTAAAGTTAGAAGGGACAACATATTTCTGATAGCTACTAGAGCATTCATTAATTATCTGTTTACAATATTTATCTTCTGCATAACACTATGGGCTTCTCATGGGAACAGAGAATATATTATGCTTTGTATTCCCAGCTCAAGGCACGATGTCTAGCACCGAGCAGACAATAAATGTTTGATAAAAGAACAAATGAATATTTTATGCTCCCCTCCTGTGGAACAGAAGCTTCATCAGAGAGAAAAATATATATATATGCTTGTCCACATAATGGATATTTTTGTCTAATATTGGGGAGTTGTGTAAACATGAGAATCCATGGGGAATGTTTTAGAGCACTAAAAAGATCTAAAATCATAGATAGACACAAATATGGATCTAGATATACCAACATAGAAAGACGTCCACAAAATATTTTTTTAGTTCTAAAGGCAGATTTTTTCCTTAAATGAAATAATGCACAGAGTATGCCTGCCTTTTATGAAAAAATGATACATGTAGGAGAATATTTGCATAGAGCAAAGCAGGAAGCAGAGCCATGAGTCATGAAGAGTCACAAGGTTCGTGAGGAACTGCAGTGGGTTCTTTTTCTGGGAATGCAATTATGGGAGTCTTTCAAACTTTTTTCAAGTCTGTCTTTTCTGAGTTTTCTATCAAGTCCTTTAAAAGTTTTTGTTTCAAATAATGCTTATCAAAATCACCAATGTCTATAAAAAATTTTGGAAGACATCTCATCGACACATTTGCCATTAAAATAGTAATTTGAGGAATGGCAAATCATTGTAAGGAATTCACTCACCTAATAGCAACCCCTTTTCCTAAAAATCCATTGTGCATGTTCCCTTTGTTTGTGCAGAGAAAGGAGAATGTCTTTAGTCCAGGAAGCATGGGAAAGCAGGACTTCCACCCCAAGGACAGCCAACCAGAGCAGATAGGAGGGAGAGGAGCTTTAAATTCACTTTATACAATTTGAAAACTAAAGGAAACCCAGATAATGAAGTCCAGTGAATGTGATTGAATCCAAGTAAGCAAAAGAAGCTAAAATAAATAAAAGTATTAGACTGAAGTAGTTTTTAAACACACAAGCAAACAATGAGTTCTGTAAGTGCAATACACAAGTTTTTAGACTACATTTTAATCTAATTGGAGCAAGAAAATGGTCCTGGTATCTTCTATTCTTCTGGTAAGTGTTTGTGTGACAAACACAAGGAAATTCTGGGGGTGGCACCTGCTTGATTGGCATTTGATGGGACTCTCTGCAGGTACAGGCAAGGAGGTTAGGCTTCTAAGTCTGGCTCTTACCAGCTCAGTGACCTGGTCATTTTTTTTTTTTTTTACTCCTTTTGCATCTCAATTTCCTCATTTGTAAAATAAAAATAATACAGCTTTCTCTTAATATGTAAATCTAAATTAAATTAAATGGTAAAATATAACTGAACATCATGCCTAGCACATGGCAGACTATTGATAATACTGTTATTAATGGCAGTGCTTGGCAGATTTTCCTATTTGACCAAAAAAAAATTTTTTTTGAGAACTTTTAGTTTTTCAGAACATATGCCAATAAAAATGTCATGTCAAAATTAGCCCGGTTAAAACTTTATTTTACTGGCTTATAGTCTCAGCTGTTAATATAATCTTCTGTTTTATAGGCTTCCAGTGACCTTCAGGAAAAAAATAGCAAACTGTTCTTCATTAAGAACTTGCAATCATTTTTAGAGCACTCACAGCTCAGAAATGTTTTAAATTCAAAAATCATAATGCTTCCTTTGTTTTGATGAACAACAGTCTTAAATTCAATGGTTTATAAAGTCAACATCAATTTTCAATGGGCAAGTAAATAACCTGTGGCTATTTTTACTTCAAGGATTGAATTTGTCATATAATACTTTGTAAATTTTTGGTGGATTATATGTACGCTTTCTTAGCTGGATTGTTTTTGTAAATGGTTTGAAGTTATTAGATTACTCTATGTGGTGGTTTATTACATGGTCAGACTGTCTTATCTATCCATACGGCATAATTAAAAAAAAAAAAACAACTTTGTTTCACAGAATCCAAAACTAAAGTTGTTTTGCTATTCCATTATATTTCCATTGGTATCAATATTCCAAAATCAGTTGCAGATTGATACTGGGTTCCCTATGTGCCCATGGCCATGATAATTCAATTCAGTAAACTAACAGTAGTGTCTGGTGTAGAGGAAGATACAAAAGTAAGCCAGGTATATACGCCTTACTCAGGCTTAGGTCCAATAAAACCACAGTCCTTGGGCAGGCAGGAGCTTTTATTTCCTCTGATCTATCCTCTTCTTCCACATTTGAGAAAGGAAAGCCCTAAAAGTTCAGACCAGAATGTAGTCCTCCCCACCCTACATTCTCTCCTGATCTACATGTGGTTTGGCCAAATGTCCTCTATTGGGTCAGTAGAAGGATTATATTCCCTCAATGACCAGTTGAGAGCTGCCAGACAATTTTCTGGGCTACCAGGGAGCTACCATGAGCTCAGTACTTAAGCACAAATATCAAAGGAGTAGCCCACCCACGATCCCACCTCAGACCTGCGAAGTCACGCTTACAAGTCCAGCATAGGCTCCCAGAGGCCAGGCACCTCTTCCTGGTTATATCCAATTCAAATCAAACTCACAGGAAACTATAAAGCAACACCACTCACTGTGCAAAAGTAGCACCCCTCACCATGCAAATGTAAACCCTGAGGAATGAACAAATAATTCTAAATGGAAAACAAACCAGAACCCCTGGCTTTAGCCTCCAAGGTTTAAAGTCGGTAAAAATAAAAAATAATAATAGTAAAATAAAAAGATTCTAGACACAGCATTTTAGTAGTATGCTGGTTAACTTTCTAATTTCTTCTCAAATAGTTCTTGGACAACCATCATGAAGGTCCCCATCTGGTTTTCTAATGGTTAAAAGATCTCATATTTCCATGAAGGTTTTAAAGGAAGTGAACTGTGACCAGGGAAATATATTATATGCTTTGTTGATAGAAAAAATATGAATTGAGGTATGAGTTAAATTCCAAGACACAGCAAAATCAAAGTTCTACTTCTTTCACATTTCCCTCTGTAATGGCCCTTTCCCTAATGGAAGAGAAGCAAAGAACTACAGAGATAGCAAAGGATAGGCTTCATATGGATACACTTAAGGGGCTCCCTTCTCTTTTTGCACAGAGGAGGGGAAAAGACTGCTAAGTCCTCCCAGTCACAGCCACATGGACAGAAGACATATCACCAAACCCGGCCCCTCGCCATATGAACAGTTATCTCATCCAAGGACTGTAATCTGCATCTTTTCCCTCCTTTCTTCTCACCTTTCCATCTCCCCCAACCCAGGGCAAGGCAAGACAGCTTATCCAAAATATAGGAACAGCACCTCCTTCACCCCAGTAAGCATCTATCAAACTCACAGGGGTTCCATTGCTGCCAACCCCAACCACAGTGATGCTGTAGTATTCTATGATTTGGGCTTCTACCCTGAATCAGACTTCATGAAATGAGTCCCCTGACCCAACTCCCCGTGTTTTTCATCAAAGGGCTTGCCCATCCCCACCATAGGCCCAACTGCAGGACAGAGCTGCTCTGGACAGTCACCTGCAGAAAGAGCAGCAGAGCAGCCCAAAGAGTCTAGATGGGAAGGAGAGAATGTTCAGTGCATGAAACATCCCCAGCCCTGGATACAGCAGTCATAAGACTAAGGTGATGCAGCTTACCTGCCTCCTCTCATCAGGGGCCTTCAGGAAAAGTGCATTGATCACAGCAATAGTATAGGTTTGGATTTCCTGGTCTGTTCTGTAATTATATGGAACAACACAGCAAAGTCAGAAGAGGTGATCCCTGAGGCAGATCATAGTGAGGTTCATCATCACATACATGCACCCTCTTCCCAGAAGTTAGAAAGGCAGGGATTAGGAAACTCATTCAGCACTGAGAGTGTATTTCAACCACCACGAGCCTGAAAATAAGGTAGGTACACAACTGCCATTATTAGGCACCTGGTGGAGATCATGCAGAAACACAGGAAGCAGTTGTCTCTCTCCAATCTCTCTTCTATTAGGATTAAAGACATGGGCCCAGGGGTTGGGGATGTACCTCAGCGTTAGAGCACTTTCCTAGCACATGTGAGGTCCCAGATTCAATTTCCACCACCATGAGAGAAAGTGGGGGGAGCATGGACCCAGGGGATATAGTCATAGTCACAACAGTCATTGTGTGTGAGTGTGTGTGTGTGTGTGTGATTTTCTGTGTTATGCATGATATAGATCAGAGAGCAGCTATGGATACCTCCACATTCCTGTTCTTATTTAAAGGAAACTACTTTGTCTCCATAGCTATGATAAACATATTACAAAAATCTATTTCCAAATGGAAACTTTTAATAGCAAGAAGAATAGGTATTGATGTTTATAAATTTGTTTTTCACTGGAAAGAAATCAGGAATTCTAAATGAAGCACAAAATGAAAGTAAGCTGCATGGTGAACAGTAAACAAGAAGGACATAAGGCAGAAACAAAGGTGGCCCAAAAGCTCCATTTAGGGATCATCTGTCAGGCTGGTCAGGGAGAGACAGAGCTTAGAACACAGCCTGTGGCAGGATGGGATTCAAAGTCCAGTTCTCCACAGGCTGCCTATGTGGTCTTGGACAAGCTCGTGGGTATCCCCAAGGCACAGTTTCCTCATCTGTAAGAACAATATATTTCACAGTGTTGCTGGGAGGAAGATAAAATGAGATAATGTCTATAAAACCCTCAGCACAGTGCTTAGCAAATAATAAACTCTTTTCTTTGGTAAAGTGCATTGTGAATGAGCACATGTGCCCCTGAGAGTCAGAAAGCAAGCTGTGACTATAAATTTAATACATTTCACTTTCAGGGACATGTGAAATGGATCTTATTTCTAGAGAGGTTACATAAAAAAAAAAAAATCTCCATTCTGGAGAACAAGGTACTATTCACTGAAGTCACAATGCAAGCTTTTTTGACTTAAATTTTAAATTCTGGTCATCCTCCTGTCTCCAAATGAAGGTGGGGGGGGATGTGTTTTGGGAGTTTACATTATAAACACAACAGTTAACATTTTCAGTGTATTGAGAGAACTACTGAATACTCTCTCACACTTCTATCCTGCATCACCAACCCAAATGAGCCAACCAGATTTCCTCTTAAGAATTTGCACATGTGACCTGAAAGACCAGAGGTACTGCCACCAAAAACAGGTCATGCTGGTGCCAGCCAATATGCTACAGGAAACGTCTGCTGCTAAGGTCTCTGCAGAGGCCATAGCTTCTTTCACAAAAGCATTGTTACTTAAGTCATTTCTAGATTCTAGTGAGATACTACTGTGTCCCTCCAATAAGCTCCCTCTCCTGTATAAGCTAGCACAATTATTTGTTGCAACTTCAACCCCAAATACTTTACCAAGTAGCACTGTATAATGGAGTCCTTGTTAACATGGTATCATAAGAGGCAAACTTATTAGTCACCTCAGGGTGGACAAAAGGGAAAACAATCCCTAAGGACTGCAGGTTACCAGGACAGCTATCAAACAGCCACATTATAGCTCAAACATCTAGGGAAAAGCACCTTTATTATATTATAAAACACAAAAGAAGAATGTCACTCTTATCACCTTGAATATAACTAAGGAAGAAGCTTGCCACTAAAAATTCCTGGTTGAAAATGCCTAACCTAAAATTTCCAATTAATTATGAAAATTAATTGGAAATAATTCATGATGTAATTCATGATATTACAGAAGATATAATCTTACATAGCTAGGGAAAGACTATTGAGAAGAAAACAAAGGGTCTTACTTTGTCTTATTAAAAGGATAACTATTAATATCCACTAAAATTCACCAAAACTGAGAGTCTCCTAAGGTCCAGACAGTGTCTAGACATGAAACTCATCAGGGATGGAGAGTAGGTAGGAGGTAGTAATTGTGCTGCTTCAATGTGATGGTGGATGATCATGGTACATATTTTGGTTATGGGTCAACTCAATATTCTTTTTTTTTTCTTGTACAATTAATTGGACCAATATATAAAGTTCCCCATGGCAGGATTGTGGTGGCCTCCCTGAAGTGCACCCCTACTCCCAGGGCGCCTCAGCATGCTTACCCTTGAAGATGAGGAATGAGTTGGCCAATAGTGATCTCCTGTGCCACCTTCTGGTAGAGATCATGGCTATTGAGCACCATTGACTCCAAGATGGCCAAGGACCGTTGCAGGATTGAGATGTCTATGGCTGACTTGTTCACAAAGCTTGCTATCTGAAAATCCAAGTGGGACAACATTGATTGCTCATGGTAAGCAGTGCAGGGAAATAGATAAGGGAACAGATGAAGCAAATCAGAAACTCGATTAAGGAAACCACACATATAACAAAACAGCAAGAAATCCAATGAGCCAACAATGACTGCTCACGACATCATTCAACAAAATTGAACCTCTCTTTAAGAGATATCTTTGAAGAACTATTCTGTCTGGTCTTCTCAGCATTATTCTCTGAGCTTCAGGTTTCATAGGCAAGCAATTATAGCACATGTATTATAAGGATCCCTGTGTTTCTCTGATGCAGTAATTTCCACAAATGCTAATAGCTACTCCTCCCCCATTCCCAGGCTAGTCCAGATCCATGCCTTTTACGTTCTTATTATGTTCCTGTTATGTTCTTAAGGGACTCTCACAAATCATACTTGTCAACACGATTGAAATGGCAAATTTTCAGTGCCTGGCCACTCTCCTGGCTATTACTAAAAAAAAAAAAAAAAAAAAAAAAAACCCTTTCCCCCCCCTATTCTTTCAATTTCTTATGGTTAAAATAAATTCTTCTCAATTCTCCCAAATGTAGCAATCAGGAAATCATTTAAATTAGCAGTGCTAAAAGTTAAAATACTAGTTTAAGGTCTAAAATATATTCCCTAAAGAATTAATCACTAAAGCCTCAATATAATAAATCACAATATAAGAGGGAAATAAAATAGGGGTTAGAATAATGGATCACAGCAATCCAAACACATGGGCACCATAAAGGCTTTATTTTAGAGACCTCATTAAAAGTTATTGCAGCCTGTTGACAACTCATACTAAAAGGCCATTATTATATCAGCATAATGACTGCTTTCTTAAAAGCTGAATAACGTGGTCCCATGACCAGTAAGCACTCACTGCTTCCCTCTGTCAACACCAATTTCTCTCTTTCTGCTGTCCCGCCCACTCTGGTCCTCATCCCCTCTCTACCCCTGTACTCCATAGAATGTGAATGTCCCATGACAATTCCCAGTTGTCCTCCCAACTGTCTCCAGTCCACAGACTCCCATGGAAAGTAGTGGTGGGAGGGGAAGATAAGGACCCCGCCTGCTCCGGATGCATCTGGACCTTTGGGGTGGGAAATAGTGAAGGGAAGAAGTACAGGGATATTAGAGTTTTACATTCCAAAAAGCTATTGTTTTATAAAAACCAACTACGGGAAGAGCATGAGAACTTAAGACCCTCAACAGACTGTTTTAGTTCCTCTCATGCCTAATAAACTCCCCAATGTGTTTACTGTCCCTGGTAAGCATCTGCACTAAACCTCACGTCTGCTCCAATCTAACAAACCCACCACATGAAGGCCACCTTTGGCCATTGTTCCCTGACAAAAAACAATCCAATTGCTCTCACCCTGCATTCACATTTTTATACTTAATTAGGCCCCTTCTAAGTAGAGTATGAACTCCTTGACTTCTCCACCTCCAACCCCCTCACTTTTTAATGTCCCAGTATGATTGGAAAGCAAAGAACTCATAAAGACATTTGCTGGCAATAGTTCTTATTTTTTCTATTCTAATTCTCCCCTCATTGCAGGCTCCCATCTTGTCTTCACTTGTTAAATCTGGATGTTCCCTAACCCTCCCTGGAGCCTTCCACCTGAGCACCTGTTTTGGAAGTTCCTCCACCCCAGCCTTCATCCCCTCTTTTCATACATTTGGTATTTACTCATGGGTTAATTGATTCACTCAAGTAATAAGCATTGTGTGTGCCATGCCTACACCAGGCCTACCCAGTCCTACAGATCTGGAAATGCAAGGATGACCAAGAACCACACAGTTTTTAATTTCAGAGTCTTGCAATCTAGCAGAGATAGATAAAATATCCTTTTTCTATAAAATATATTAAATGCTCATTCTTGTCATAGAAAAGGTGACCTCCATTTGTATATTTTGACAAAGCCTCAAAATTAAGCAGTGTAACAAAAATTTCATATTCTTCTCTTTCCTTCCCTGTTATTACCCTTTCTCATGTGTCCATAATCATTAGTGATTAACATTCCCAGTTCCCTACCTTTCACCTCTGTGAATACACTTTAAATACATGCTAAATATACCTTCAGCATATATACATACCACTGTCCCATGGTATATGCAGTTCCTTCATGAGGATTAAAGTTCTATCTTCTTCAGTTCCCTCTATGTTCAAGTTTTCTAATCAATGGAAATTTACCCTCTACTTCCACAAATATCTTTTGGACAATATTTCCTTTCTCAAAATGTTCAATTGCTGCTGGGCATGGTGGCACAGGCCTATAATTCCAGCAGCTCAGGAGGCTGAGGCAGGAGGATTGTGAGTTCAAAGCCAGCCTCAGCAAAAGCAAGGCATCAAGCAATTCAGTGAGACCCTGTCTCTAAATAAAATACAAAATAAGGCTGGGGGGTGTGGCTCAGTGGTCAAGTACCCTGAGTTTAATCGCTGGTACAAAAAAAAAAAAGTTCAATAGTTTTTCACAAGTTTCCTGATATAAAATACAACTTTTTATAATGGTTCTTAAATTCTATAAAACCATTAACTCTCCCCTGTTCCCAACGGGCTGGTTCAATGATGACAAAATCATGTGTCATGTCATCTTTGCTTTAATTCAGGGATATTTATAACCCGCATACATATTTCCCTTCCATTGGTCATTTCTACTTATTTCTTTCCCATGAAACCAATCTTTTACTTTCATAAAAACATTCTTTAAAAATTATTTCCTATAAGTTCACCTCTTCCTTAACACAGTACCAATACTAAAGCAGGGAACCTGATGAGCATTTGTAGAACACAGTGAGCTGAGTGTCTGCCTTATAGGGACAGGGTGCTCTATTCGTTAAGTCTTATGTGCAATTCGGGAGTAGATACCAGTCACTTTTGAAGCTAACTTCTTTCTCTTGTCTTTGTCAGTGGTTTTAAACAGACATTTTGAAGGCCCTGTACTTTCACTGAATGTGTATTGACAACAAGATCAGGGCTGATCCAAAAGAATGTAATGATTATCTTCCTCAAGGGAACTTGAGACCTACTCACTAGTGAATGTTCAAATGAGGAAATGTACAAACATTATTATCTGTGCCAAGTTTGAAAACTATAGATCTTAGTATAACTACAGACAGTTACAAACTGTTCAGTTAAATTTCGTTTTCCTTTACCCCTCAAAATATTCATAAAGGTTTCCTTTGTCTTCCAATCACTCCCTGCTCCACGACTGCACTTTGGCAGACATAGCTCAGCTTCTTCTCTATGGTGCTAGGGATGGAACCCAGGCACTGCACATGTTAGGCAAGTGTTCTGAGACTGAGCTAAACCTTCAACTTGACAGCCTCTATCATAAAGAAGAACAAGTCAGAGGAGTTAGTGGTAACTATATATCTGACCTCATCATGCTGTTCATTCATTTAAAAATGCTACCTAAAAAAATCAGAGGACCATTTAGGTAACTTTTAAGAAGCTAAGCAGCATCACAGTGCACGAACCAACAGCACAATAAATACTTCTTAGGGTCACTTAGAACTTGATCTCAAAATTCTTGTATGTTATCAAAACCAAAAAGAACCAAGGAGGGCATGAAGGGCCACTCTCAACTTTTAAATTGGTACTATCTTAAGGGCAGAGGCTTATAAATCTCTCAAAATTTTAGGAGGCAAAAATGACTGCATTTCTTTTTTTAAAAATGACTGCATGTTTGTCTAGGCACTGAAAATATGTGCAGGGTGAGCCAGGTCTCCTCAGAGCTCAGGCCTCCAGAGCACATTTATGAAACTTTCCTTTCTAGAGAAGGCACTGATGTTGTACTTGGCTAGGAGGAAACCAACTCATAACACAGAAAGTTCTTTTTTTTTTTTTTTCTTTCTTCTCCATGTCTTCCTACCCTTTCCCTAAGTAGCCAAGTCTTTAAAAAGCAACCACATTATATATTGGCATCAAGGGATTCCAAGTCTCAGAGTGTTTATGAAATGATGTTATTTATTGCAGCCACAATTTGTAAATCAGAATCCAGATCCATATGTAATGTAACAGACAAAGAGACAGGGGCTGGCAGGGAAAAAATATTTCTCCAAAGTGGTATGAATTTGGCATTAATAGGAAGCCAACTTTGGACCATGGAAATAGGCATCTTTTGTCAGTGCATTTCCTAGTTGATTTTTGTGGAGATAAAGCTCCATTTAAAAGACAGTTGCCTGCCTACAAATCCGGGGTTGTCAGAGTGCTGAATTTGATCCAGCTAATAAATAAAAAAAAGTTAACCTCATAAAAAATTAAGTAATTTTCTGATGACAATTTTTCAAATGCATGTAAGAAATCTCTAAGTAGTAATGTAAGGGAAATATAATAACCGAGAATGAGACAAGGAGTATATTAAAATATGTTGCCTTTTAAAAAAAAATTCAATTTTTTTTTTAATTTAAATGGCCAAGGCTGTTGCCTTTGCTTCTTTGGATTTAATAGGATTTTTAAATCTCATTTCAATGAATGAAACCATTTTTTTTAGGTACTCAGAAAACTAAATCATTGTCTTTGTCGCTGACTACTATTCATATCATTTAAAGACACACAACTTTGTCATTCATTTTTACTCATGACTGAAACTTTACTTTTAAAATATAAGGACTGGGGCTGGGGCTCAGGGGTAGAGCACTTGCCTGGCATGTGTGAGGCACTGGGTTCGATTCTCAGCACTGCATATAAATAAATAAAGGTCTATCAACAACTAAAAAGAATATTTTAAAAAATATATTAAATATAGCACCACTATATTGTCTCTCTTTTTCAAGGTCTATTGTTTTAAATGCTTTTAATGCTTCTAAGAAAATGCCATTTATTCATTTTATAGAAATTCATGAAGGTCTCCCTCAGCACCAGGTCATGAGGATAAAGTGATGAAAAAAGACAAGTTTCTCTCTCCTGGGCTCAGAGTCTGTTGTGAAAGACAGTTAAACGAACAAGAAATTCACAAAAATGGGAGAAGGCAGTGCTGGCATCAAATTACATTCTGAGATGTGAGGGGCACAGAGAGCAGTGGAAATCACAGAGAAGACCTTACTAATTAAACAAGGCTCCTGGCATGACTTTTTTGCAGTATTGGAGAAACAGCCCTGCCCTATGTGACCAAGGATGCCCCCACTCACTATGACTTCAGTCAACCCTCCAGTCACAGGGTCCTGGCATCTAACCAGGCACAGTAAGACTCAGCTGCTATGTTCTGGAAAGGGACTGCTGTGGGGAATCCAAGGAGCTCAAGTCAGTGACTACAACCTAATTCCAAGGTGTTCACATTCCAGGACATGATAGTTACATTTTAGTAATTAGAGATGAGCAAAGCCATTTGGATATAGAAAAGAAAAGCCTGCTGCAAATTCAGAAAAGTGTTAAAATTTTTGTTACTATGAAAGTCTATACAACCCAGTCAGTACCTTCAGAGTCAGGCTTGCTTCTTCAGAACTTATCTTAGAAAAACAGAATAGAACAATTTGTTTTCTGCTCTCATAATCGCAGGCCTCCGTTCCCTGCCACCAATTAAAGAATATGCTTATAACACATTAGAATTCCTCTGGCTTTCTCATTTGTAATAATTCCTTTGCTGTTTAGGAATTATACCACTGAAAAATAAAGACAGTCTTCCTTTTTTATATGTTTCCTTTTGGTTTCCTTAACTTTTCTCTTTTGGCTTCATGGATTTACGTAAGGAAAGAAGATCCAGAGGTATGTCAAGAAGGCTCTGAGTTTCCAATTATCTTTTGTCTTAAATAAATCTGCAACCCCATACAGACTTTCCATTCTCGACACCCTCATTACACAGATGAGGGGATTCCTCTTGCCTTCCATTCCAAGTGGCATCTTCCCAAAAATTTCAGTTACTTTAAATAGAAAATCAGTAACTTTCCCCAAGGAGCACCACCTCAACCATGTAATCAAAAGACATACTGATGTCACATAACCCTGGGACAATGCACAAAGAAAAGGCACACCAATACTAATGTAAGACTGTTGTTCAAAATGCATAACCTTCCTTAGGTTGACCATAGGAGAATATTAGACAATCCAAACTGAGAGAGACATTCTACAAAGTAACTGACCAGTGCTGTTTGCAAGTGTCAAAGTCATGAATGACAAGGAAAAACCGAGGGACTGACAGACTGGAAAACACTAGGAGACATAACAGCTAAATTCTATGTGGAATCCAGGATCAAATCCTTAAACAAAGAAGAAAAACTTGTGAAATGAAATAACATAACTGTACTATCATGTAAAATGTGAGAATTTGGGAAAAGTGGATGAAGAGAATATAGAGTTCTCTTACTATTCCACACATTCTATACTATTTTTGCAACTTTTCTTTAATACTATCATTATTTCAGAATAAATGACTTAAACTTGAAGTGATCTTTATTGAACTTCATTGTGATTTTCTAGTCTTTGCACAGATTCACTAAAATTATTTTAGATAACTCTTCCCAAGAATCTATATTTTTAAAATAAATTTTTGAATTCTTAACATCTCTTTATAATTAACACAACAGTAGACAGAAAAAAATGTCAATTAACTTATTTCACAAATACTAAGAGAGGAAAACTTGATAATAAATACTAACCATTCAAAGTTTAATACTACATTTTAAAGAGTTACACAGTCAGCTTTGTTTGGTTTAGTTTTGGTTTTGGTTTTTGGTACTGGGGATTGAGCCCAGGGGAACTTAACCACTGAGCCACATCCCTGCCCTTAACATTTTTTTTTTTTTTTTAATTTTGAGACAAGGTCTCACTAAATTGCTGAGGCTCAGCTTTGAACTTGTGATCCTCCTGCCTCAGCCTCCCCAGCTGCTTGGATTACAAGCATGCATCACCATGCCTGGCAGGACTACTTATTTTTTCTCAGAAAAATATAAACAGAATTGGAAATGTGCAGGCATGTCTTTATCATGTGTCAATTGCTGGGAACAGTAGGGGCTCTTCTGCCCTCTCTCCCCAAGCCAGGTCTACCTTGGCCCATCCCTTTATCAGATTCTTGTCAAAAAAGGAAACAGTCAAACTGGTTAATTCCTGAGACATTTATTCCCTCAGGATACAATTAGCAGGACCCTTTATCTAGGACTCCTGAGCCTGTATGCCATGCCTGTTTTCTTCTATCTCTGGTCCAAACTTAGGAATGTAGGAAATCATCAGTGTCCTTTGCTTCTTCCCTGTCCCTGGGGATGGATCACTGAAGGATAGTAGGAACCTCATTTAGGTTTTTGAAAACTTGGAGTCCTGCTTGGGGCAGTGGTAGACACGTTTATGGTCTTTAACAACGTGGCACGTTGACTTCCCTTAACTCTGGGTTCCCATACGCAGTCTCTTATAATGTCTGCAGAGACAAAATATCATTTTCACAAAGAATTTGGGTGCTCTCATCCCCACATACCTAATGCTATAAAACACCACACTCACCTGTTAACATAAGGAACCAAAAGAAACAATTATAGAATATTTTCAGAGAAAAAAATCTGTGAAAGAGGAAGCAACATAAGCCCAGGGAAGCACAGTCCACATTACCTTCTTAATAAACGCCACCGAAAATGTATCCCACGACACAATGCCATGGTCCATCAGCTCCACAAAGGCCGTCAGGGTGAAGGACAGCATGTCTCCAAAGCTGCAAAACAGAGTCATGGGCCCAGAACTGAGCACTGGGAAAGATGCAGAAAGCCTCGGGAAAGCAGAATTTTCAAAGACCCCTGGCATAAGCCGCTGGACACAGACAACTTCCTCACACACCAGTGTTGGAAAGAGGCATTCGCTCAAAGTCAGCCGGGGCTTCAGAGTTGAACAGGCCTGGCCTCACGCTGACCTCACTCTGGAGAGCTGCATCACACTGGGAAATTCACTTAACCTCTCTGAGCCTCTCTTTTCTTAGCTGAAAAGCTGGGTAGTGAGTAATAGCTATTTAACCACAAGGCTGCTTGTAGGGCACTTAATAAAGTGCACATCATATAAACATTCAGTAAATGCCAACGTGAAGAAAAACTTCTCAGCAAATAAAAGATCTTTTAAGAGAGGGCAATGTGGTGCTTTTATTATCCACAGCTATCAAGGGGGAAGATTCATAATAACAGTGAAGAGTATCAGCCTTTGGAAAGGATCCAAGAGCCTGCACTTACCTCTGTGTGTGTACTCAGATACAGTATGTGTCTAAGTAAAAATGGCTTACTTTGATGTTATACTGGCCAGCACTCCATCTTAAGCCAGTGGGTTTTATGTAGTAGCTATGGAGACAACAACCCCATGTGAGGGCTTTGCTGACCCTAAACTTACTGTGATTCAGAAGCTGTAGATAGAGTCTAATGTGTGATTTAGAAATCAGAGAAAGATTAGGAGGTGCTATGGCTTGAACTAATGTCTCCCAAAAGTCCACGTGTTAAAGGCTTGATCTCCAGCTTGGCATTTTTGGAAGGTGGTGGAAATTTTAAGGTCTTCAGGTCTCTGGGGATATGCCCTTGAAGAGCACTGTTGGGCCCCTAGTCTCTTTCTTTTTTACTTTCTGGCCATGAGATGAATGTTTTGGCTCCATCAGAAGCTTCTGCCATGATGTGCTGCCTCTCCCAAAGCCATAGGGCCAATCAGTCATGGACTGAAACCTCTAAAACCATGAACCAAAATCGACCTTCTTTGTTTATAAGTTGTTCATCTCAGGTATTTGTTACAGTAATGGAAACTAACACAGACAGGCTCAGGTAAAAGCACTTTCTTTCTTTCTTTTTTTTTGGTTTTGGAGATTGAGCCCAGAGGTGCTTTTACCACTGAGCCATCTCCCCAGCCCTTTTAATTTTGTATTTTGAGAGGGGGTCTCACTAAATTGCTTAGGGGCTTGCTAAGTTGCTGAGGTTGGCTTTGAACTTGTGATCCTCCTGCCTCAGCCTCTATAGCCACTGGGATTATAGTTATGGACCACCATGCCTGGTTAAAAGCACCATCTTTCTATGATAGTTCTATCTGGAGCACTTGGCAGACAATATTCTGGTTACTAGTGCTTTCCAAAGATATTTTGACAGACATTTATATACTCAGAATCCTTTACAGATAATCACCTTTACCATGAATGATCAAGATCACAAATATTAATTCAAAATTCTCAAAATTAATTCATTCTCTCTCTCTCTCTCTCTCCCCCCCCCCCAGGACATAAAATTATGCCAATCAGGATTATTGCACTATTTTATATGGTTGATTTTTAAAAAAACAAAAGTTAGTCATGTATTTAACATATAGGCCATTATTTCTACCTTACGAAATCTCCTAACAAATTTAGATAGAATCTTCCCACTTATTTTCAATTAATGAAATAGAAAACAGGTTCACATTTCTTTTAAAACAGCTTCTCAATTTCCCTTCCTGTTATTGTTCTACTTAGTCCAGTCTTAAAAACAACCTTTTAAATTCTGCCTCACCTTAGAAGTTGTGATGCTAAAAGAAGCCTATAGAAAGGGAAGTCTCCCTTTAAGGAAGAACTATCATGCTAGGCCGCTGAGACCAGAGGGGAAGAGACTCACTAGAGGGAAATGGCTGAGGGAGTGGTGTCTGAGGTTCCCCTCCAGCTCTAAGTGGGCAAGTTATCCACCATCCCAGACTTCGTTTCCTCATTGATTAAAAACACGGATGAGGATGATGGTAGCAATGGTGGTATCCCACTCGGAGACCACTGGAGAAAGAAAATGAGCTAATATACTAAAATCCCTTCTAACAGCATGTGGCAAATAGCAAGCAGCATGTGAGTGCTAGCTATTAGCACTATAACAAAAGTAGCATTTTAAAAGGTGAATGACGTCCATAATGTTCATTCATTTTGCCGTCATTGTGCAAAGAATTCTCTGTTCTTAGAACCAGGAGGGAAAATGCAAGAAAAGCCAAACCATTCAGGCCACTTGGAAAAGCACCTCTAGCCTTTCAAAGCGGCACACAGCCAGGCCCAGTCCTACAGGTGCCCCTAGGTGGCATCAGAGGCTCATGCCTCAAAAAGAAAATCCAATGTAGAAAAACTTACTGGAAGGAGAGAACATAAAATTAGAAAGATGGGAGGAAAATGAGTTTAACAGGTTAACAAGAAAGGTTAAATAAAACTTCTAGAATAACTCTCCTTATAGACAATGAGTCACTAGAAGATCCACGTCTCAGATTGCAAAAGAAGAAAACTGCTTCAGGAAAATAAGAGCCAAGCAGTAAATACAACTAGTAAGATTTATTAATAGACTAGGTAAACATTAGTATTACTGTGAAAAAGTTATGACATAATAATATGTAATATTGTTATTAGCAATATGAGCAAACATTTTATTTATTTACTTAAAAACAGAAAAATAGTCACCATATAATAACCAATAATTAGCATTTGCTTTTTTCTGGGATGGTTAAAGTCTCAAAAACTAAGATCGTCTCATAAACATGCCAGGAGATGACGGCATCCAGGGCCTGCACCCAGGGCTATGAAAATTCCTGCCTCAATGATGTTAATAACAGAGCCAGCCATGGAACAGGCCATGGCAGAGGAATACACAGATTGTTGGAATCAATCTCCTTTTCACAGTCCTAGTCAGCAACCTGAGACTGAATGCAGATGGCATTAGTCTTGAAGTCAGTCTTCATCAGCTGCTTTAAAAGCAAAAGATAAGTTATATACATGCCCTCTATAATCTTAAGGTAAAATGACTCGGCTCCCTATTTACCTACTGAATAGAACTCTAATCCAAATGGTGCTAGTAACATCTGGGAATAATTGATCTCCCCTAAAGTGCTCCAGAACTCTATCTACAGACTCCTCATACAAGAACCCTGGAAAAAATGATGGAGAGCAGGAGAAAGAATACCAGTTGGTTTCCAAATCTCCTAGTTGATTTGGGGCCTAGGACTACAATCTCTATAGCTCTCCAAGAAGTGAAGCAGCATTTCTGAGAGGGTTTTTCTGTGCTTTTCATTTATCCTTGGGTGTGAATGACTGACAAGTGAAAGAAGAGCTTCTTCACACCACACAACAATCAAGGTGTTCACAGGAAGTATCATTTTCTCTATTTAATAACATGATCTGTAGGTAGATACATAGAATGAACCCTATAATCTATTATATATTAAATATAAATAATTTTGTAATAATGTATATCATATTAACAAAATATTTAACACATCGGCAATATACTCATTATATAAAAGACTATATACATATATTCTATATATGACATATATAATTCATTAAGACTGATTGATTGAGTAGCATAGTATATTTCTACAAAGAGGAACTTTTTCAAAATTAAACCTCAAGCCTTCAGTTGCAAGGAATGCCATGCTAAAATTTTATTACATTGCAAATAAAAGGACCTATTTTAAGTGAGATGGCTATAAAAGCTCTTATTAAACCCTGACATCAGTGTTTATTTCCACTCCTTAGGGGAGTAATTCAGACTCCAAAGAGGGAAGGCAGGAGCTAAGATTCTACCTTTGAAATCAATGCTGAGTGCACAGTATCAAGCCTTAAAGGAATTACAAATATAAAGCAACCACATGGCACATTAGGAACATTTTAAATTTTATTTGGTTTATTTGTTTTTGATAAAGTGTGAGGCTAAAGATTCTGCAGTACCGACTGCCACGAATTAAGCCGTCTGCAAACTTTACACGCTGGTCGACAGTCACTGTCACAGCCAACACACCATGTGTGCTGGAATGATTCAAATAAATGTTTCTCATCAACTTAGTAGAGATCATCTCTATTCCAACAAAATCCAGCCGATCTCAAAACAAGCATGTAAATTTATGTTGCTAATTTTATAAGAGAATTATGCTTCCAAATGTTTCTACGCGGTGGCATGTTCAATATAGAACTGGAGCAACTTGTAAAGCTATCAATAAATCATACTGAATAAAGATCCTTAATTGCCAAAGTTAATAGTTAATAGCTATAGCTCTGCACTGCCCTTTGAGTTTTTTCATTATTTTCTACTGATGGGGGAGGGGTGGTGATGGTAAAATTTACACATAAAACTATTTAGATACCTCCTTAGCCTTCAGAATCATAGTAAATATTAATGGATCCTTTTTTAAAGATCAAAGTGGACTCTACTCTATATCATTGATTTTGATTTGCCTCTCCTCTTGTATTGATATCATTCTCCTTTGACAACAAATGATAGCAAGACTTGAAGTCAGTTAAGGAAAGATTCCAAGTTTGTTTTTTGGGTTGTTTGGGCTATTGTAGGCTCTATGGATTTCCAATTAAATTTTAGGTTTGGCTTTCTTTTTTACAAAAAAAAAAAAAAATGACTGATGTTGCACTGAACCTATAGATTCACTTAGGAAGAATTGCTCTCTTAAATATTATCTTTCAATCCATAAAATGATATGTCTCTCCACTTACTAAGGCCTCTAATTTCTCTACACAATATATTTATTTTTCAGTGGACTGCATGTCTCTTGTTGAATCTGTTCATAAGAATTTGATGACTTTTGATCATCAAAATGATCTTTGATGCTTTATAAATGGAATTTTTTAAATTTCATTTTCCAGTTTGGGGCAGTTAATATACAAAAATACATGGATTTTTATACAGTGATGTTGTATCCTGAGACCTTGTTAAATTCAACCATTAGAACTAGCAGTCTCTTTGTAGA